ACTCAGCTGAAGGAACTCAACAGAGAGGCTGAGCAAATGAAAGACCAGAGGGATTTGTCTTTGACAGCCAAGGAGGCGTCGTTGGCCCAGCTGGATGCACTAAAGTCCAAATACAACGAGGCCCTGGCAGCCAGGAAGCAGACAGAGCTTGAAATTGAGGTTTTACGTCCGGATGTGGACAAAGCCACCGCAGCCCGGATTAAACTGGAGAAACAGCTGGAAAACTTGGAGACTGAGCTGGATTTCATGCAAAAGGTTCACAAGGAGGAAATCGAGGAGCTGATGCAGCAGATCTGTTCATCAGCTTCCAAGATGGACTTGACCTTCGACCTCCCAGACCTCTCCTCTGCTCTCACACAGATTCAGTCTCAGTATGACGGCATTGCTGCCAAAAACCTCCAGGAAATGGATACTTGGTACAGAACCATGTTTCAGGACATGGGAGACACCTCTGCCAAACACGCTCAAAGTGTTCGAAGTTTGAGAGAAGAAATAGCTGCTTATAGAAAGGACATTCTGAACAAGGAACGGGACTTGGAATCCCTGAGGACAAGGAAGGAGTTTTTAGAGGGCCGGGTCCGTGATGTCATAGAGAAATACAAGGAGGAGGAGGAGGACTTGCAGGAGCACGTTGAAGCAGCTGAACAAGATCTAAAGCTGACCAAACAGAAGACTGCTCTGCTGATGAGAGAATATCAGGAGCTTCTGAATGCAAAGATGGCGATGGAGATCGAGATTGCCACCTACAGGTAAACAAGGATCACCCTGTTTTGTTGTATGAACTGTGCACGTTGCACCAAATAAGATATAGAACTTTCTCTAGCAAAGCTGTGTACCTTTTGTGGCATCAAGTCAACTTTTAACTTCTTTCCTKTGTTTTGTTCTTGCTAGAAAGCTGATTGAAGGAGAAGATGGCCGCCTGAGCACCACGGTTGGTAAATTCTCCCTGACTGGTGGTGTGCACACTTCCTCAGGTTTAGCTTCCCCCTCAGCTCCAGATGGGTCTTTGAAATGTAATGGAGCCTCCAGCGACACAGACAGAACCAAGTGTGCTGCAGCTACAGATGGAGCGGGGGGCTTCCTCCTGTCAAGCAGTGATGAGAACCTGCAGCAGCAGGCAACTGAGACGTCTGAGAGGAAGATGGTCCTCGTCAGGTAAACTCCAACTTTGACACCTAATGACTGCACAAACACATCAAAAATACATTTCATTTTTTCTGTTTTTCCCTCCTCCCAGAACGTTTAAAACAGATGAGGGCAGCTTTGTGAGCAACACACAGCAGCGCACCATCACTGTTTCTGGAGCTGCTGATGAAGAACAAACAATTTAAGGTGCTATTTCCACTGATCGAGATGCCCTTTTTCAYGTGGCTCAAAAAACTTTAAAGGCTGTCCTGCTTCTTTCTGGAAAACCTGTYCACTGAATTTCCTGCTCAAGATCAACCAGCTTCTCTGCTTATTTAATTCTCTTCTGTCAAACTGATTTTTGGCAGCAAGCACGCGTAAATGTCTTCATTTAAAGCAAAACAAGAGTGTTATACTAATATTGTAATAAAAATTTTACTGCTTGAAAAACAAAAAYGTCCCACAAAGTTCTGCGCAAAAAGCTTTAATTAAAAAAAGTACCCATGAGAAAACATTTGGAAGTTGGTCAGATTTGCTGTCTTCATATTTTTTTATACAGTATTGTACATCATTTATTTCACATAGTATCTGATTCACTTAAGAGCATGTCTCCTCTCATTTTATTAACCAAAGAATTAACAGTGTTGTGTAAAGTGCATTTGAACAATATAAATTACTTGCATTTCAAAAGTTAATCGTGAGRAATTTTGGSTTGAAAGTATAATGAAAACAAATGGAGTTGCATTAAAGGTTTGTAAACTTGGACACCATGGTTAGTGTGTGTTTTTAGTGCAACGGTTTGGGTTCATCCCCTTCTCCTCCTGCGAGGCGATACACAGTGAGGCTGACTTCATGAGCCAGAGCGTCAGCACTCTCCTAAAACCCAAAAATAACCCAAAAACACAACTTTATTTATTACAGTTCCATATTGCACAGTTGATATAAAAGTAAAATAGAACAGAAAGTTTTTAAAAAAATTTTTTTTACCTGAGTGTCTGCCTCTGCATAAACTCTGACCACATCTTCAGTACCCGAGGGCCTGACAAAGGAGCGAGCGYGACTGTATTTGTTCACCAAAGTGTCGATGGCCTCCTGCAGCCCAGCTGGGCTCACTGCTCGTCTCTCTGCATCTGCTGTCTCAATCACTCGGCGGTCAGAAACCTTAGAAAAAATAAAAAAGATATACCCCACGTACAGCTGTTAAAAGTCATCAGTCACTTCACCATTCAATCGCAAAAATAAGAAAACTAAAAAGAAAATGAACAATTTTCATTTTCTTCAAAAATACAGTGTGAATGCTGTGGCAAAAAAGGAAAACACTAGCTAAAACCTAAAAACAGCAAAATGCCAGCTAAAWGACAAAAGTAGCTAATTGCTAGCTCAACGTAACAAAATGCTTTATTTATTCTAAGCMGCAAAACATTAGYTAAARGTAACAAAATGCTAGCTAAAAGTAGCAAAAGACTGGCTAAAAGCTAAAGAGAGTGAAACCGATAGAAGCTAAAAGTAGCAATAAGTTTAATGCAACAAAAAGCTAGCTGAAATAAGGACACGTTTAGCTAAAAGCTAAAAGTAAAAGAAGACAAAATAACAGATGTGCTGAAGCAGATTTTAAGAGAGAATAATGTTTTTCAAGAAACTACAAAAATCTCATTGTATTTCTGTAGGAAAATATTTGTAAGGAAATACTTTTTTTTTTGAAAAGTATGAGTTATAAAAGCCACAAGTCAATGAACCCATCTCCTGAATGAGCTGAGTGTTTTGATCTATGCATGACTAAAATAGCACTAAGTATACAGAAGTTGTTAGATTGCAAAAAATGTTCAAATTAAAAAGAGGAAAAACAATATAAGAAAATGCTGACTCAGCATTCACACAATATTTTAGGCCAGTTTTCATCATTTTGTGAACCTTGACTTTCAGCTGCCTGTTTGGCAGGTCACTGTAGATGGTGTCCCACTGCTGAACTGTCATCCCTTTGATGGAYAAAATGGCTTCAATCAGCAACATGTCAGATATGGCATCTCCTACAGTCTAAAACAAGCAAAAACAAAACAAAAAAACATTCATTTTATTAATGAGTTTTTTTAAGTATAGCGAAGAGTTCCAATTATTGCATAATATTTCATCAGAAAGTAGAGCTTGCTTTGGTTTTGCACCTGGTTGATGATGTTGATGGTGCTCTGCAGCAGGAGAGCAGCTTTCTTCCTCTCATCATTGATGTTGGTGGCATTAACTAGCTGCTGGACTTTTTCCTCAGCAGCTTTACTGAACAAAACCTGAAAACAACACAAACACACTTGACATTATCATTAGGACCATTTATTTATGATAATGCAATTCGAAAAGTAACTGGTGTTTATTATATCTTAGAATGACGTGCAATAAATGTTAGATGAACAACATGAAATATTACACCTCATCAWTCTTTGATCAGCAGATCAACTATAAGTACCAGTGATAAATTAAARTAAACACTGTCAGTTTGCTGGTGTGGAGCAGTCAGATGTGTGAACACAATTCTAAATAAGATATTAGAAATAATCTTATGTCTANGGTATATCCTTTTTAAACATAATGAATAAGGTTAAAAACTCTTGGAAACCCTAAAAGGAAGTTAAAGAGGTTTTAGTAAAGACATAACTCACCATTGGATCATTTTGTTTCATAAACAAATGTTGGGAAATCTTCATGAAATTAGTTTAAAGTTTATTTATTGCAAAATTAAATATATTTCTTGCAAAAAAACTATATTTTGAACATTTTTTAAAAACCCACACATTTATTTTTCACCCTATTCATACAAAACAATGACACTGAACACGTCACAAAGGTTTAGTTTAATTCTTGATGCTTGAACTTTTAAATCTAATGTCTGTTTGCATTTACAACATTTCATATAGTTTAGTGAGGTACATCTACAGACTTGTGACCATTCTCCAATCTTCCTTTCTTTAGGTACGAACACTGGAATCRAAGAACAAGCTGCTGGAGGCTGAGATCGAGGCCCTGAAAAGCTCATTTGAAAGAACATCAGGCCTCAGGCAGCTTTATGAGACTCAGCTGAAGGAACTCAACAGAGAGGCTGAGCAAATGAAAGACCAGAGGGTGAGAAAAAAAAGAGTGTCTCATCCCATCAAATCACCATCTCCTTATGTGACAATATGAGAGAAGTCTGTTGTGGGTCATCGTTGGCCTCAACATTTTGATGTCTGTGTCCCTTCAGGATTTGTCTTTGACAGCCGAGGAGGCGTCGTTGGCCCAGCTGGATGCACTAAAGTCCAAATACAACGAGGCCCTGGCAGCCAGGAAGCAGACAGAGCTTGAAATTGAGGTTTTACGTCCGGTAAGACAAAATAGTTGTTTTATTTTCTCTCGCAACTTAAAATGAGGTTGGAGGTTAGTAAAAAAGTGGAAAATAAAATGTTTATAGTTCACCAAACTGTATGTGTTTGTACATCGAAGGATGTGGACAAAGCCACCGCAGCCCRGATTAAACTGGAGAAACAGCTGGAAAACTTGGAGACTGAGCTGGATTTCATGCAAAAGGTTCACAAGGAGGTAAAAAGAGCTTTACCATGTTTATGAGTCATTGTTTTTTTATAAATAATGATGTAATTGTTTGGTAAGTGGTTTTACACCAGACAAGAAATGGCTGATTGACAGAGCAACTAAACGTGGTCATTATCAGTCTGGTGTGAGGGGCTAAAACAAGGAAGACTAATCAGAACTCCATATTTATTAACATACTGTATATACTCTAAATCAGTGGTTCCCAAACTTTTCAGCTTTTGACCCACAAAATAGTACAAAACAGTTGCAGAGACCTGTGCCCACAGCTATTTTTGGA